CTTGCGTGCTCGAGCTGATTCCATGTCGCCAGTCCTGTCCTGCGCAAAAGTGAACCTGTAAAGGAAATGCGAGAAATATTTGTGTGCCACGGAGCGGTTGAGCCACAGTATGTGGCCTTTCCCAGCTTTTGCCGAAGTGTTTAATTGAGCTCCGGACGAGCCGGGCTATCATGCCGCGAAGTAGTTCGGACTCCATTATCGGTGTCCGTGAGCTTGGCCGTCGACTCAAGGTTCAATTGAAAGGTGCCACTCGTTGCTTCTTTTGTTAAAGCGGCGGTATACTCTTCGGCGCCGAGGTGGAGTTCGGCTTTGCCATTAACCATTATGATGCCGCACGGGCCGGGCATCTTAAGCTTACGGTGGGCGTAGTGTGGTACCGTGTTAAAGCGATCAAACACGGTTCGCCCAAGCAGTGTGTGATAATTACTGCGGAAAGGGACGATGTCGAAGACTAACTCTTCGGTACGGTAATTGTTTGGTGATCCAAAGACTACCTCCAGAGTGATGGAGCCAATACAACTGACCTCCACACCTGGTATAACACCTTTAAAGGTGGTTTTAGTGGGTTTGATCATCGAACGATCAATACCCATCTGGCGCACTGTGTCTTGATACAGCAGGTTTAGACTGCTGCCTCCGTCCATAAGGACTCGTGTGAGGTGGAACCCGTAAATTATTGGGTCGAGTACAAGTGGTTGGTATTGGTCGGACGATCTGTACGATCGAAAGTGATCGGCCATAGTTTGTATTGTGGGGCGACTTGCTCCGTTAAGTTGACATCCCTAAGAGTGCACGTCCGTTCCTGTTTGGGGATGTGGATGGCGTTTATCATGTTCACCGTTTTGACTTGTGGGGGGAATCTCCTTTGCCCTCTTTTGTTTGGTGATCGGGGCTCCTCGTCGTCGTCATCGCTTTGAGACCCTTGCTCCTTATTTGCGGCACCTGACCTGCCGGCTTGTTTAAAGACACAACATTCTCTGTTGGTGTGATTGGCTGGTGTTCCTGGGATGCCGTGAATTTGGCATGGACGATCGAGTATGCGATCCAGACTGGACGGGCCTGAATTGTTCTTTTGGGATGGCCTTTTCTACTGACCGGACTTAGAGCCACTGAATCCAGCGTTGACTGACGTGTCTTTGGCGTTGTCACCATTTTTGCGACACTTGTGCTTGTTGCGTTGTGGTTTGTCGTTGTTGTCTCTGGCTTTTGATGTGCCATGATTGCTTGTTGTGTTGTTGCTACGAGCCAACCAGCTATCCTCGCCAGCACAAAAGCGGGTCATGAGTGTCGTGAGGGCTGCCATGGACTTTGGCTTTTCTTGGCTGAGATGTCGGGCAAGCCACTCGTCCCGGATGTTATGCTTAAAGGCCGCTAGGGCTTCGGCATCCGGACAATCGACAATTTGGTTCTTTTTAGTGAGGAACCGAGTCTAGAATGTCCTAGCTGACTCTCCAGGCTGTTGAGTTATGTGACTTAAATCATCAGCATCCGGTGGTCGCACATAAGTTCCCCGGAAGTTATCCAGGAATGCGTCTGCCAGGTTCTCCCAACTTCCGATGGAGTTTGCTAGCAAGCTATTCAGCCAATGTCGAGTCGGTCCCTTGAGTTTTAGTGGGAGGTATTTGATGGCGTGTAGATCATCTCCGCGGGCCATGTGAATGTGGAGGAAGAAATCTTCTATCCATACCGCAGGGTCTGTAGTACCATCATATGATTCGATGTTCACAGGTTTAAACCCTTCTGGGAATGTATGATCCATTACTTCATCAGTGAAGCATAGGGGGTGTGCGGCGCCTCTATGCCAGGCTACATCACGACGCAGTTCAAATGAGTCTGATCTGTTATATTCGGCCCGGCCGGACTTGTTTTTAGTGTATCCGGCGTGATGGTCATCCTCAAGCGTTGTGGCGCGCCCCCGCGATCCGTAGATCGATCTTGACTGTCCTGCTTTGTTTTCCAATACGTCTTGCAAGTCCTGCGTGTAGCCCCGGGCCTTAGTATTTTTGTTTGATTGGCGGCGGGGTGCGGGCTGGTGTTCGGGTTAATTGGCCGCTTTGTCTCGGCCACGAGGTGGCCGGTCAGCCGCATCATGTGTTGGTAGTGTAGGCTTTGATGCCTCCTCCTTGAGTTGAGGTAGCAACCTGCGCTTTGGGTAACTTTTAGTTGTGCGCTCGAGTCCGTATTCCTCGGTGGCCAGGACCTCGGTCCATCTATCAGTTAGTAGGTCTTGATCAGCTTGAAGCTGCTGCTGCTGTTTTTTCAAGTTTTTGCAGTGGCTATAAGCCGGCGCTTGAAGCGCTCCTGCTCGACGGGATCCTCAGACACGATGAATTCTTCGTCGCCAAGGCTCACTTCGTCTTCGGAGAGGGGCATGTAATTGTCATCCTCTGATTCTCCATCTGTTGCCTGCTCCTTAGGGCTAGCTTGCCCATCCTTCTGCTCAGCCTGCTTGAAGTCTGGCTGGGTGGGATTGTTTTTGTCTTCGGCACCATCCGGATTGCTATCATCTCTTGTGCCGATATTGCTATTTTTGCTATGCCGGGGCTTAGAGCGCCGCCGATGACGCCGAAGCTTTGATTGCTTCCCCAAGGGATTATCCTCCATTGCCTCATCGCCATTGTTTTCTTTGGGGGTGTCCACCATATATATATCATATGATGAGGTGGCTGTCCAGCGGCCTGTGGGCGGTGGTTCCTATTCTTCTCCTGCATCGTCATCCGTACCGTCGATGTCTTCGGAGTCGAAGTCGAGCACGTCGGTTAAGTCATCGACAGTGGCTATTAAGTGGGTGGTGGGTGGGAAACGAATTTCTTCATCGTCCGCTTCCCACTCAAGCCAGACATAGTTCGGCCAAGAGTCTCCTGATAGAGAGAGAGAACTTAATGAATTTAGCACGTCGCCCAGGGGTGAGTGCTGAAAGATATCCGCGGAGGTAAACTCCATGATCAGTGCCCAATCAGATTCGATAGGCACGGGCGCACGCGGTTCGGAACCTATAGCCAGAGACGAGTCCGAGGGTCCGATGACACATATCTCTTTGGAGGTGAAGTCTGTGTTTGGCTCCAGCACCGATGAATGTGCGGCCTCCGTGACAGGGTCCATCCACCCGTCCTTGGATGGCGTGATCTGCTCCAAATCGAAGGCCGGGGAAGCCGCATGTGCGATATCCCGAACACCGTCCAATGGCAGATCTAAGTCATGCCCGTCGTGACTGTTCGGTGCTCCAGACGTGGGCTCGAATCCGTTGAAGATCAAGTCTCCGCGGATGTCGGCTGTGTAGTTCAAGTTTCCAAACCTGACCTGATGTCCAGGGGCGTAGCTGTCGATCTGCTCCAGACGGCCAAGCGAGTTGGCCCGCAGTACGAAGGCGTCGAATACGAAGATCTGTCCGGGAAGGAAAACCTCACCCTGGACCGTATCATTGCTGATGATTGAAGGAGCCATGAAGCCTTATCGCGATGAGACAGTGGAACTCTCAATGAAAGCACCAATGTCGGTGTCAAAACCGGCGGATCTCGGGTAGGGGGTCCCAAACTGTGCGTCTAAGGCTAATGGTAACAGGAGGCGGGGGACACAATATTTACCCAGGTTCGGGCCCTCTCGATGGAGGTAATATCCTACTTCCTGCTTGATTGATCTTGATGATATGAGTATTACAAGAGTTGATTTACCACGAGATCGTAGAGGCTAAACCCTAGAAGATAGCATATGATTATGATTGTTGTTATCCTACAGACTAAACCCTCCGGTTTATATGGACACCGGAGGGGGCTAGGGTTACACAGAGTCGGTTACAGAGAAGGAGACCTATACATCTGAATCGCCAAGCTTGCCTTCCACGCAAAGGAGAGTCCCACCCGGACACGGGACGAAGTCTTCAATCTTGTATCTTCATAATCCAACAGTCCGGCCAAAGTATATAGTCCGGCTGTCCGAGGACCCCCTAATCCAGGACTCCCTTAGTTGCCATGTATGGTCTGGTCTACTACAGTTGCCATGATTTCAGAACTTTAGGAGTTGCCATCTAATAACACTAGGCAGTTGCCATGTAGCACTATAAAAAGGGCATGGCAAAAAAACATGTTCGGGTAAAAGAGAGAGTTGCCATGTGCTCACAAACATGCTAGGGCAGGTGCCATGTAAAAAGAAAGAGTTGCCCATCTGCTTACGTGCACTCTAGGGGCAGTTTCCATGTACCATGCAAAAACACATGGCAACTCGGGTAAAAGAGAGTTGTCGTCTGCTTACAAGCAAAGCTAGGGCAGTTGCCATGTACCCTGCAGAAATACATGGCAACTGACAGCTTTGGGTATGTGCGAGGAGACATGCGTGTGGGCGAAGTGATAAACGCCCACACACCAGCCCCTCTGCGTGCGTGAAAACTGGTGTGTGGATGAATTGCTAAACGCCCACACACCAGCCCCCCGTGTGGTGAAAAAAGGACGTGTGGGCGATCGGGTGAATGCCCATACACCAGCCTAGTCCTACGTGGCACATAAAAACTGCTAGAAGCGCCAAGATTCGTCCGTTTCTTTTTGCTGGACTTTTCGAAATTGGCTGTATGCATCTTAGTTATGCAGAGGTCGGGTGTTATTCATAATGATTTGTATCGCTTGATGCTATATTTGAGATAATAATAAAAACGCCCTTTTATCAAAAAAAAATAGGATGGCAAAGCTCCGATTATATCACAGTAAAAACAATATAATAAACTTATTACAATTTGCACTCGAAAATTCTATTACTGCTATAACCGTATGTGATTGGCGCCCAATACCAGGTAATTAAGAGCATGATGAAAATGTCTAAATATGAACCTATAGCATCGATTGATGCGGCAGTAACAAGTATATATAGTATAGAATTACATGAAGCATCAATTGCTTGTCTCTCAATTCATTTGTGCTGCTACTGCTACCTGTGACTGTGTAGGGTAGGGAACTAGGGATGATCCAACTTAATTCGGCTGGTGAGTGGTGATGGCTTGGTGGTTCCCTTAGTTAGTATGTGACCCTGACGCCCTGGTAGCGGAGGATCTCGCCGATGAGCTCGCCCTTGCCGGAGCCGACGTAGCGGCCCACGATTTTCTTGTCCCTGATGAAGAGGAAGGTGGGCACCTCGACGACCTCCATGTCCTTGAGGAACTGCATGCATGCGTCGTTCTCGTCGCCGTTCATGCGCGCGAAGACGGCGGTGTCGGCCATGGAGCGGGAGAGCTTGACGACGGTGGGGTAGACCTTGACGCAGGGCCCGCAGTGCTTGAGCCCGACGTCCAGCACCAGCAGCTTGCCGTCCTCGCCGCTGTTCTCGGCCATGAGCGCCTCCACGTCCGCCCGGTTGTGCAGCTGCACGACGCCGGCGTGGTTGTCGCCGTAGTAGAGAACGTCGCCGGCGAGCTGGTCGGGGCCGATGCCCTCCTCCTCGTGCACCTTCTCGGTGCCCTTGTAGAAGGAGAAGTGCGGCACCTGGGTGATGCCCTCCCGCTGGCACAGCTCCCGCGTGGCCTCCGACTCGTCGCCCATGACGAGGAGGAAGTCGACGTCGCCGCAGGTGCGGCTGAGGTCCACCATGCACGGGTAGATGCGCTTGCTGTTCACGCTGTGGCTCGCCGCGAACTCCACCACCACCAGCCTGTTCTTGGCCTTCTGGAGCGCGCTGTCGAACTCCTCCGCGCTGTGCACCTGCACCACGCGCTCGTCCTCCTTGCTTCCGGACTCGGCCGGCTTGGCCTTCTCCTTCTCCGCGCCGGACACCGCGGCCCGCGGGCGCGCCACCACGCGGCGCCTCTGCGCCGTCGCCGGCAGGAACCTGACCTTGCTGCTGCCGCCGCCGCTGACAGGCGTGAAGCTAAGGCTGGCTGTGGCGGTGGAGCCGGCGAGGTGGCCGAGAAGCTGGGCGGTGGAGGCCATTGATGCACTATCTGTGCTTAATCGAGCTAGCTCGTGATGATGGCAACGAGCGAGTACTCCTGCTGACTGGCTGCTTCTAGAGAAGGGGGGAGAGCGCTTGAAGAATAGGATGAGAGGGGAGTTGGCCTCCAATCAAAAGCCATCCACTCAAGATGGTTTGTGGCTGGTGTTTCATTCAGCTCAGATTTTTCAATGATTTGCACTTGCATTTTTGTCGGCTTCTTCGTGAGACCACACACCTCAATCTGATTTTTTGCCCCACCTAGTCATGGCCACAACTAATTTGCTTTGAACTCTCGGGTGATCTGGGGTTTACTGGCAGGTTTCGATATTTTGATTGACTGAGATTTGGGTAGGACGAACATAAAACAATTTCAAAAATATCACCGAGATCCCGAACTCTACCAAACACCTGTCAAAACTCAACTAGGGATCTCTGAAAGCGTCACAAGCGCCTGCGAAATATCAGCGGCAGAATCTGCTTCCTGTCCACCAGTTCACACTTGACACTTCACAGTAACCCATCTGACGCTGATTTATCTTTGTAAGGCCATATGCAGTACTATTTCAAATATAGACCTTTAGAGTTTAGATTCATATCTAAAATATCATACACGCACTGTCATATGTCGCGGACTTTGCAAATTGAATGTCACAACATTTTCACCACAGAAGATGCAACATAACAGATATTGTTGAGCATATTAGCAATTTTTCAATTAATTTAATCTAGAAATAAATCATGAATATGGCATTGACAGTATTAATTCCGTACTGATATTTAATCACGTAAGCACTTACTAGGCGAGCAATGCTAGACGTACGGGCGTTGTACGGGGGATTTACAGGCTCGTTGACTGTGATTGGTTGGAATATGATTAAGGGGGACGGCCCCACCCTGAAAATCAGGGGGGAGCAATTAGATTAGGCCACGTTGTCATCCTGTAAAACTTTGTATGATCATCCTGTACGTATAGTATTATTGCTTACTAGGCATATAGCAGAAACATGTAAGCAAATAGATAGTACGGCCGGCACAGAAATAAACAGAAGCGGGGTAAATGATTTATATACCCTCTGGTTTATAAACAGGAGCGGGGTAAACATGTATGCAATATATAGGCACGGTTGGGTAGGGAGATGTGGGCTGGACCCTTGTCAGAGTCTGGAATGACCCACAATCAGACGTCTCAGATTCGTGGCGCATCTGTTAAGGACTCTCCGTTCTTGAAAGGAGAAAATTAAGCGCACATATAACATAGGTCTGAGCTCGGCTCGACTCAATCACGAAACACGACACGAGCGCGGGCGAGGCCGGCGACGGCGGAGGAGCTTGTGGGAACCACTACTCTTCTTAAGCTCCAATAGCATGTAGAAGAGGATTTCTTATAAATTGGTCTAAACTTCCTACACTTCGAGGGTGGTACTGAACTTCTCACCTCATCCCTTGTCATATGGCCTAGAGCCCATACTATATTTCAACAACCCCCCACAAGATCTCAAAGGCCCATTGTATTCTCCTATGTTCCAAACACTACTTTGATATACCGATATTTTTAGTGGAGACCAGTTAAGGTTGAACATCCACCTAGAGCAAATAGCTACATTTCTTCATAGTTGAACAATGGATTATGCCATGAATTGTCAGTTTGGCGTAAAGAAGTTTCACCAATTGTCTTACTGGTACTAGACTACCGAAGGCTAACCCCACGGGTGGAGCATATTAGTCACACTCCTGGCCTATTCATTAGCTTACTAGAGATCATCCTATCTTATAGGCTGTGACCAGTAGTCGGACTCATATAGGTGTTTTCTTCCAAAGATTGCTCTGTATGATAGCATCTTGCTTATATAAGCATCAAAACATATTAAGACAAAGTCAACCTGCCATATAGTTTCCGAGAGTACTACATCTCCAAAAGAGTGGATTATTAGGTTACTTTGCTCAGTTACTAGTAGACTGTTTTCCCAGGTCCTACTTCACGGGATCTCCGATCAATAGATTTGCTAACCATATGGAAATTCATGTGGGTCTCATACCCCATCTCCCTCAATGCATTGTCAATCACAACACGTGATAGCCTTTTAGTGAATGGATCTGCCAGATTCTTAGTCGATTGGATATAGTCCAACTCTATCACTCCGAAGTCTCTTAAATGTCGGACATATTTAATCTCCTTCTTATATGCTTCGTAGATCGCATGTTGTCCTTCGAAAGCTTTGCCTTGACAATAATTGTCTGATTGTCACAGTTCATAAGGATAGCTGGATTTGGGGTTTCAACCACTGACAAGTCCATCAAAAGATCTTGAAGCCATTCTGCTTCGACACCGGATGTGTCTAATGTTGTGAGTTCTGCTTTCATTGTCGACTTTGTTAAGATAGTCTGCTTGCAAGACTTCCAGGAAACAGTGCCACCTCCTCTAAATGTAAACGCATACCCACTTGTGGCCTTCATATCATTAGCACCAGAGATCCAGTTTGCATCACTATTCCCTTCAAGTACTGACGGGTATCCGGTATAGTGAATACCATAACTTGCAGTACCTTTCAGATAGGCATAACTCTTTCAATAGCATGTCAATGTACATCTCCCAGATTGGCAACATACATGCTCAGTTTGCTCACAGCAAATGCGATGTCTGGCCTCGTAGCACCTAGCTGGGTACATGAGTGAGCCACTAACTTGAGAGTACCTCAACTGATCTTTAGTTGTGCCTTCAAACTTTCAGAACCGCGCACTAGGATCATATGGTGTTGCAGTCCGAATATCCAAAACAACTCAAAAACTTCTTAACATGATGGAGTTGCAAGAGTTTAGTCCCACCCTCATTATCTCTCAATAGTTTGATGTTTAAGATAACATCAGCCACTCCAAGATCTTTCATCTCACAATTTTGAGGTAGAAAAGATGTAACCTTCTCAATGGATTTGAGGTTGGTTCCAAATATTAGTATGTCATCAACATACAAGCACAAAATAACTCCTTCACCCACTATGACGATACTAGACACATTTATTAGCTTCATTAACAACAAAGCCAGTAGATGTAAACGTTTCATCAAACTCCTCATGCCATTGCTTAGGTGCTTGTTTCAAGCCATATAAACATTTCAGTAACTTACACACATTTCCTTCTTAACCATCTATTACAAAGCCATCAGGCTATTGTGTATGTAGATTTCCTCGTCTAGCTCTCCATTCAGAACATCCATCTTAACGTCTATTTGATGGACGAGAAGACCATGCGAGGCTTCCAACAAGAGTAAAACTCAAATGTTGGTCAGCTCGGCGATAGGTAAATAAGTATCAAAGAAATATCCTTCTTCTTTCTAGGTATAACCCTTGGCCACAAGTCTAGCCTTGTACTTTTTTATCATACCATCAGGCCTAAGCTTCTATTTGAACAACCATGTACATCCCAATGGTTTGCAGCCACAGGGACATTCACTGATTTCCCATGTCCCGTTAACCATGATGGAATCCATCTCTCTACGAACCACATCATTCCAGTAGTCAGCATCCAGAGATGCCTAAGCTTCTAGAATAGATGTGAGAATATCATTGATGAGGTTCACAAGAAAATCATCACCAAAGGACTTTATAGTCCTCTTCTCTTGCCCCTGCCAAGAGCTTCCTCATCATCCACCACATGATATTGATCATGTGCTCATTCATAATATTCCATAGGAATGGCATGCTTGGGAGTCTCCTCAGATTCCTGTCTAGAAGTGCTTTCCATATCTCTCATAGGAAAATATCCTCAAACGATGTACCATTTTTAGACTCCATAATCGTACTGACCTTCAAGTCAAGTACCTCAAATTTCACCACTAGAAATCTATAGCCAACGCTTTGGTCCAAGCTTATGCTTTCTGGGGCTAGACACATTGACTTTCGCTAAACAGCCCCAAGTGCGTAAGTAAGAGAGTGTATTTCTTCTCATGTCCCATTATTCAGAGAGAGTGATCTCATTATCTTTTGTGGGAACCTTGATGACTCTGAAGAACTTGTTGAAATAGGAAACTTCAGTTCCTCTGTTGCTAGATCCTAAGATGCTCCTGGACTCCATCAACATATGCTGTGTTAATCCAAGAGCCCCTTGGTGATCTCAAGATTCCTCCTGGGCCAAAGCATATGATCATTATCTTTCAAGATTAACAATCTACATATCAGAAACGTAATGCTTACGTGGAACTATGCCATGAATGATCATCATTAGAACTATGCGCAATTTTGTCAATTGCTCAACAGTAATTTGTCTATCACACCATTTTTATACTTTCGAGAGAGATGCCACTAGTGAACCTATGGCCACCGGGTCTATTTTCTATTAATACAGAAAGCATTCTATAATTTTTCTTTCTACTCTTTTACTTTTTGTCGCTTTACCTATCACTATTTGCTTTGAAACTTGTAAATGGCAATAACAAGAGGAGTGATGACCCCCTTGCCTTTGTTGAGTGCAAGCAATTTTATTTGTTTGTGTGCAAGTACTGCTAACGTTATCAGTGTCATGCCTCCTACTGATTCGATAAACCTTGGTTCTTAACTGAGGAAAATACTTGCTGCTGCTGCCTACGTCACCTTTCCTCTTTAGAGAATCCACCAACTCCTCCTAGAGTAGCATGGACGATGGCGAATTCGATGCGACAGGAACTTCCTAGGGACTTGTTTCAATATCTTCTTTGCCTAGGGTGGTTTCTGTAATTTGGGTCAGGTGTCTCGTGTATGGGGGTTTCCACAATGTTGTATTGTTTTCCTTGCTAATATAATCTAGATATGGCCTCTCGGAAAAACAGAACTGTGATCTCATCCTCTTTTGATGTATTATAGCAAGTTTTGCATGGATTGTGATACGGAGGCCTCATGTTGTTCCTGGAACCCTGCCGGTTTTCGTTAGTTCCATCATCTTGTCTAGGGTACGATATGCAAGGCCAGGAGGTTGACATGGTTCAGTTTTGTGGCGCTCGCCTAAGCATTATGGATATCATATAATA